GAAATATGTTAATAGATAATTCGATTCTAGTAATAGTCAAAACCAATTTCGGCTTGAAACCGCCGGTCCCGGGCCAGGGGTTGGGGGACCTGAACCAGCCCGAGATTCGTACTAGTATATATATACATATATATGCTGACATATCAATAAATATAACATATATAGGTTTTCCACCAAAAACTTTACATGTGAACTTTATCATTTTTATAATGTGATTTAATTATGTAATAAATCCCCCTATCCCCCTATATATTAATACAGAACGCGCTGAGCCTACGTGGCTGCTTCTGGTGCTTCGGAATCCTATGTGGCAAAATTACATGCTTCGTTATTAGGCTTGGGTAAATTTTAATTTAATTCCAAACCGAAAATAATTAGGTTCGGATTACCATAAATATGTTGATTATTTATGGTCATGTTACATGTATTAATTGTATTTTAATATCATTCCTTATTATAATTATTGAATTGTATATATATTTTAAAAGTTAATAACTATTGTATTTTTTTTCAGTTTTACATATGTAATATATCAAATTAATCTTCTTTTGATGAGCTTCGATTTAACATCCATATTGTATGTATAAAAAAATAATTTATATTTATCTTTATAACAATAATAAAATTATTTTTTAAAGTAATTAGAAAAATAAAATTATTTATCAACTAATATATTTATATTTCAAGTAGTTATATGATATAAGTTATAAAACTAATATAATATAACACATGTAAGTCATAAGTAACACATATCATTCTAAAATATATAGCAATATATTTTTTTTTTGTAAAAAAGTAAACTAAATTTAATATAGTTTTCTCATTAATTTTAAAATTGAAGAATATTTTTTTAACAAGCATCCGTGTAATACACGGGTGTTGTACTAGTCACTTATTGTTTATGAATTTAACTAGTTTTTAATTAGTGTTTTTTAACTATAGTTAAGTTTAAAAAATATTGGTATGGTTAGTTGGTAGTTGATATATTAAAATAATATTTAAAATAAAATAATTAAAATTGATATGATGAAAAGTAAGAGAAAAATAATTGGAAGTGATAGTTTGTTAAAATTATGTGAATGGGCGAATAGTGAATAAAAGTTTGATGTGATATGTAAAAATAATTGGTTGATATTTTTTTACTATATTAATAATATTGAAGATAGAGTGGTTGGCTAAAGTTAAGTTAAATTGAGTTTTGATTGATTTTTTAATTGAGATGATGCCCTAGGCATTTATTCCACTCATCAATAACTTACATACAATCACTTATTGTTTATGAATTTAACTAGTTTTTAATTAGTGTTTTTTAACTATAGTTAAGTTTAAAAAAAGTTGGTATGGTTAGTTGGAAGTGAATATATTAAAATAATATTTAAAATAAAATAATTAAAATTGATATGATGAAAAGTAAGTGAAAAATAATTGGAAGTGATGGTTAGTTAAAATTATGTGAGTGAGCTAGTGATTTAAAGTTAATGTGATGTGTAAGAATTGTTGGTTGATATTATTTAATTATACAATATTGGAGATAGTGTGATTGTTTAAAGTTAAGTTAAATTGAGTTTTGATTGATTTTTTAATTGAGATGATACACAATCACCCCCTTAATTTATTGCAGTCAAATTTGTCCCTTTCAAAAAAAGACAATATACTATTGAAGTAGCCTTAAAAAATAATTTAAATAAATAATGAAAATAAATTACTATATAGTCCAAGATTTTCACTGAATTGCCTTTGAAGATTATTTTTACATTTAAACTTTAACATATAAATAAACACAAAAAAGTGCTAAAATTTCTAATATATAGTTGATTGGCAAAATAAGAACAAATAATTAATTTCTACATCTCAATTTTTTATGATATTAGAATGAAATAAATACACAAATGAATCTTTCTCTATTATTATAAGTTTTGAATTTATGTATAAATTATGTTAAAAATAATTATTATTTGTTCACGAAGTTAGACTCTGTTAAATAAATTACATTATTTTTTTATGTATTTAAAATTAATACATTCTTTGTCAAAATCATAAAAAATGACCATTTAGTAAGTTAATGTCATAATTTTGTATGTGCACTACCTTATCAAATAAGCACATTTTGATTATTTTGAAAAATTAATGTTCACATTTTAATATCACCGAAAATAATAATGTATTTTATTTAGGTAATGGTCAATTTATTAGACAAAAGCTTAAATTAAATCACTATAGTTTTTAATTTTGAATGTACCTTCAAAAATATGAATGTGAATTGTATGCAAATATGAGTTAATTAAACTACTTCAAAAATTAAACCTAATTACCCAATATTTTTTATAACTAAGTGATCCGATGATCATGGGTCAATCATAAATTTTTTAACTTTTTACAGTTAATTATTAATGGCCGATATTTACTGCCATTACTGATTCAACAGAAGCACAAGAACAAATCTGATAAAAATCGATGAACAATAGAGAGCTGCGCATAAAACTTGTGTTTGTTCACATAACCCTAGAATGAGTAAAAGGGATGTCTTAAATACAAACTACTGTAAATAATAATAGCCATAGGATGAAGATCAAAGGCTGAAAATATGCAAGAAGAAGAAGACAAATGAAAATACAAAAACAGCAAAAACTTATATGCATGCTAAGGCCATGCACACGTCCAGAAGAGGAAATAAAGAAAATAAATTTGACTTGGTCTTCATATGCTATTATGCCCCCTTCAATTCGAGCGAGGGTTTAAGTTTAACTTGAAGTTTATCTCGAAGCCGAGTGAAGAATTGACCAGACAACAGTTTAGTAAAGATATCAGCTGTTTGATGAAGGGCAGGAATGTGATGAACGGAGATTGTATGTAGATGAACCTGTTCACGAATGAAATGTAAATCGATTTCAGCATGCTTGGTCTTTGAGTGATGGACCGGGTTTGCAGAGAGAAGAACTGAGCCAAGGTTATCAACCCATACTGTGGTAGGATTGACTTGAGGAACATGAAGTTCAGAAAGTAAGCCTCGCAGCCAAATGATATCACATGAAGCAGCTGCAAGGCTCCTGCATTCAGCTTCAGTACTTGAACGGGCAATTGTTTTCTGCTTTTTACTACTCAAGATATGAGATTTGCACCAAGAAAAACACAGAAACCAGAGGTGGACCTTCTATCATCAAGATCAGTAGCCCAATCAGAGTCAGCATAAGCCACTAAATGTGAAGAAGATGCTTTAGTGAAATGAAGGCCATAATTTATAGAGCCACTGAGATATCTCAACAATCTTTTAAATGCTTTCCAATGAGTGTCAAGAGGGCTTTGCATAAATTGGCTGCATTTGTTGACAGAATAGGCAATCTCTGGCCTAGTAATGGTGGCATACTGCAATGCACCAATGAGTTGCCTATATAGAGTGGGGTTCTCAATAGGTTGTCCCTGAAATTTAGATAAACCTGGACTGGAAACCATAGGTGTGTTGAGGGCCTTGCAATTAGCCATGCCTGCCTTTCTCAGAATGTTCTTGATATATGCAGACTGATTAAAAAATATACCATCTTTAAATCTCTCAACCTCAATGCCTAAGAAATATGTGAGGTGGCCCAGGTCCTTTAGAGAAAAATGACCATTAAGAACAGAAATGACATTGTCAATTTGATTCTGATCATTACCAGTTATGATCAAATCATCTACATAGGCCAGTAGGAAAATACTATAACCTTTGTCAATTTTGATAAATAAAGAGGAATCTGATTTAGATCCCTTGAAACCAAGAGAGTTCAGAATAGAGCCAAGTTTGAAAAACCAAGATCTTGAAGCCTGTCTGAGGCCATATAATGATTTCTTGAGCAAGCAAACTAAGTTACCTCCTTTGTCATAGCCAGGAGGCTGTAGCATGTAGATGTCTGTATCAAGATCACCATTTAAAAAGGCATTGTCCACATCAACTTGTCTGATGGGCCATGATTTGGTAACAGCAATGGATAAAACTGTTCTTATTGTTGTAGGCTTAACTACAGGACTGAAAGTTTCAGTAAAGTCCAAACCTGGGACTTGGCTAAACCCTTTGGCAACTAGTCTTGCCTTATACCTAGCCACTGAGCCATCTGCATGTCTTTTCAATTTAAAAACCCACCTGCAGCCTATAGCTTTCTTATCTGAAGGAAAATTTGTGAGTATCCAGGTATTGTTGGCAATTAAAGCCTGATACTCATTGTCCATAGCTGTCTTCCAGTTGCTATTTTGAAGAGCCTCATTAAAAGTGAATGGCTCAACACAGTCAGCAGGTTGCTTGGAGCAAGAGAACACCTTTCTCTTAGAAATGCCTGCTTTGCCTCGTGTGATCATAGGATGTATGTGTCCTGTAGGAGGAATGTTAGAAGCAACAGGTACAGTAGGACTATGCCTATCATTATCAATTGGCAAATCTATATAAATCTGTCCAATAGGAATTCTTGGAGATTGAAGTGAAGGAGAGGAATGATGTGACTGGGAGTGGTGAGAAGAAGAATGATGTGAGTGAGAGGTGGTTGATGGAGGGGAGGTAGGTGGTAATGTATTGGGTGAGGGTGGACTGAGGGTTGTAGAAGGAGGTGGTGAAAGTATGAGGGGAGCAATGTTATTTTCAGGATGGGAATGACTGGTTGGTAACAAAGAATCATTTTTATCTTTAAAGGGAAAGACAGTTTCATCAAATGTGACATGTCTTGAAATGATGATTTTGTTGTTTGACAACAGAATTTTATATCCTTTGTATTGATCATGATAACCAAGGAAGACACTTTTCTGGCTTTTGAAATCAAGCTTGTGGAGATTATAAGGTTTTAGATAAGGATAGCAAGCACAACCAAACACTTTAACATGACCATAAGATGG